GACAGGAACATGGGGGTGTCAGGGACACGGGGTTAAACCCCAGTCTGGGGGCCACGGGAGGAGCAAGGGGACACGGGGAGGTCGGGAGGGACAGGGACATGGGAGGGCAAGGGGATCAGGGACATGGAGGGGGGAGCCCCCAGCCTTGGCAGGGCAGCGACATTGCGGGGATCCCCAATATGGGGGCGTCAGGGACATGGGGGACACAGGGGAGAGCCCCCAGCCCGGGCGGGTCAGGACATGGGCATCCCCCAGGGATGTGGGGCAGGGGACACAGGTGAGGACCCCCTGACAAGGACAGGGACAACGGGACGGGGAAGCGGGGACCCTCAAGGGGCAGGGTATGGTTTGGGGACCCCCAAGCACAGAGGATGGGGGGCAGGGTGGGCAGGTGAGGACTCTCAGGGTGGGGGGAATAATCCAGGGGAGTCTTGAGCATCCTGGGGAGGGGCAAGGGGGGGATGGCGATGGGTGGGAGCAGTGGGAATGGGGGGACTTTCAGCCCCCCGGAGGGGCACGGGGTGTAGGGAGAGAGGGGAGCTTGGGGTGGGGTCCCTCTGACCTTCCTGCGGCGCGGGCAGCTCCTCGCAGACCTTGGCCTCGCCCAGGAGCTGGCGGCGCTGGGCGGGGGTCCCGGCGCAGAGGCCCCGGGCGGTGTCGGGGGGCACCCCCTGTGCCCCCAGCATGGCCTCGAACGTGCCCAGGGCCGAGCCATCGTCCAGAGCCCGGGCCAGGCGCTCACGGCCCTGCTCGGCCCCCGCGGCCATCCCGCACTGCCACAGCAGCACCCCGCCTGCGCCCCAAAGCGGGACACGGCTGGGACCCCCTCACCCCAAACACCGCCCCACAGCCCCCATGGCCATGCCGCACTGCCACAGCAGCACCCCGCCTGCGCCCCAAAGCGGGACACGGCTGGGACCCCCACGGAGACCCCCACTCCTGAGGAGCCCCAAACCCTGCCCCACTGCCCCTCTGTGCTCCCACCCCTGCTCGGGACAGGGAGGAGGGGCGAGGGCAAGAGGAGGGGGACGGGGACCCCAGGAGGGGCTTAGGAGGGGACAGAGAGTGTGGGGGGGACCCCGGGGTGGGGGGGTCAGGACTGGACACAGGACCCATGTCTGCAGACCTGGCCTGCCCTGTGTCCCCCCGTGTCACCGCACTGACCCAGGGCGGTGACCAGGTGTCGCAGGTCGGGGGGGCCGCCCCCCTCCAGGCACTCGAGCGCCTCCAGCACCTCCAGCGCGTTGCCCACGGCGCGGCCCAGCGGCTGCTCCATGCGGGTCAGCAGGGCCGCCGTGCGGATGCCCAGGTGTGCGCCCACCTCCACCTGCGCGGGGACACGCACGGGGGTGGCGGGGACAGCGGGCAGGGACAGGGACAACAGGCGGGGACAGCGGGCAGGGACAGAGGTCAGGGATGGGGACACGTGGGGACAGGGACAGAGAGAGAGGACAAACAGAGACAGGGACAGCGGGCAGAGACAGGAGCAGGGACAGGCAGGGGCAGTGGGAAGAACAGATAGGGACAAGGGACAGCAGGCAGGATAGGGATGGGACACGTGGGGACAGGGACAACAAGGGGCAGGGTTAGGGACAGGAGCAGGGACAGCGGGAATGGCCAGGGACAGTAGGCAGGGAGAGAGGGCAGGGACAGGGACAGTGGGAGGGGACAGTGGGCAGGGAGAGTGGACAAGGACAGGGACAGCGGGCAGGGATGGGGATGGACAGGGACAGCAGGCTGGGACAGTGGGCAGGGAGAGACAGGGCAGGGATAGGGGACAAACGGACAGAGACAGGAGCAGGGACAGGAGCAGGGACAGGCAGGGGCAGTGAGAAGGAGAACAGAGAGGGACAAGGGACAGCAGGCAGGGAGAGTAGAGAGGGACGAGACACGTGGGGACACGGACAGCCAGGGGCAGCGGGCAGGGTCAAGGGCAGGAGCAAGGACAGGGACAGGAGCAGGGACAGCGGGAATGGCCCGGGACAGCAGGCAGGCAGAGAGGGCAGGGACAGTGGGCCGGGCAGCCGGGCAGGGGTCCCGGGGGTCCCCGAGGTCTCACCAGGCTCTGGGCCAGCTCCCGCGCGCTCTCCTGGGTGGGGTACAGAGCTGCCTCCCCGAACTTCACATCGAGCACCAGCGCCGAGAGCCGCTCCGCCGCCTTCTTGCTGAGGATGGAGGCTGGGCCGGGCGGGGGGGTCACCGCCTGCGCCCCCTCCCCGCGCCCCGCGTGTCCCCGCGCCCCGCGTGGCCCCCCCGGTGATGAGGGGCAGGCTGTCCACGGTGGCCGTGACGTCGCGCAGCCCGTAGAGCACCCGGTCCGCGGACACCAGCTCCGCGCTCTGCCCCACGATGCAGCAGCCCACCCGCGCCAGGATGTGCTGCATCTGCGGGCACCGGTGTCCCGTGGGACCCCAGGGACACCCCACCGGCACCCCACACACCCCCCAAGGGTGTCCCAGTGAGACCCCCTCATCACCCCACTGTGATGAGCTCTGGAGCCCCAGTGCCCCCAAGCCCGGATCCTGCAGGGTGTGAGGGTGCCCATGGTGTCCCTGTCCCTCTCCTGTCACCCCCCGTCCGTCACCTCCTCGGGGCTCTGGGACACGCGGAACCCGGGAATGGCCTCCAGCTTGTCCAGGGTGCCCCCGGTGTGGCCCAGCCCGTGCCCGCTGATCATGGGCACCTGGGGAGGGACACAGGTGGGCGCAGGGGCTCGGGGACCCCCCTGTCCCTGCCCCATCCCCGGGTTCCCCTCACCTTGCAGCCACAGGCGGCCAGCGCGGGGGCCAGGGCCAGGCTGACCTTGTCCCCAACGCCACCAGTTGAGTGCTTGTCCACCACCAGCCCGTGCCAGGCGGGCGGCCAGGCCAGTGTCCGGCCAGAGCTGGCCATGGCCTGGGTCAGGGCCAGTGTCTCACCCGCGTCCATGCCCCGCAGCCGGATGGCCATCAGCATGGCCCCTGGGGTGACAGCGGCCGGCCACATGTCACCTCCCCTGTCCCCAACCTGACCCGTGCCCCGCAGCCAGATGCCATCTGCGTGGCACCCAGGGACACGCGGGGCCACTTCAGTGCCCTCCCCAGGACCCCCACCCATCCACATCCCCTGGCCGTGACCTTCTGCCACGCGCTGGGGTCCCCCAGCTGTGTCCCCTGCTCATGACCCATTGCCATGTCCTGGAGTCCCTCTCCTGTCCTCCCAGGGTGGTCCCCCAGCCGTGTCTCCTGCCCAGGACCCCTCGGCATGTCCCGGGGTTTCCCTTGCTGTCCCTCCTACTGCTGAGACCCCCCCTGCCCCGGTGCCCCCTGTGCCTTTGTCACTCCCCTGGCCATGTCCCCACGTTTCTGCCCGCGCTCCCCACCACGTCCCCGTCTCGTTGGCGCGTCCCCGGCCGTGTCGCCCCTCACGCTCCCTCCGCTGCCCTCCCGGCCCCGGGGTGTCCCCGCGCCCCTCCCGCCCGCACCGATCTGTCCCTGCTGCGCGGTGCCCTCGGTGACGCCGCGCACGAAGCTCCGGATCTCGGCGTCCTCCAGACGCTCCCCGTCCCGCTTCTTGCGGATCAGGGTCGGGAGAGGGGTCAGGGCGTCCATCCCTGTCCCGGACAGCTGGCACCGCGATTTGGGCCGGCCGGCACCGCGATGTGGCAGCAGTCACACCCCGAAGTGGCACCAATGGCACCCGAGCCCGTCCCGCCGCGCCCCGGTTGCCCAGAGCCGCCACCCCGAGCCCGCACGGCCGCGCCTCCCCCGGCGCTGCCGGGACCTGCCCGTGCCCGCCTGGCCCCGTGCCCGCCTGGCCCCGTGACCGGTGCCCGCTGCCCGCGGGTGGCGAGGCGGCTCCGGCCGTGGACTTTGAGCCCGGGGCAACGAGCGGGGCACGGGAGAGGCCTCGGCGCGGGGTGATACGGGGGTGGCACGGGGGTTGACACGAGGGGTGGCCCCTGGGTCCCTCATTCACCCTGGACACTTGCAGGTGATGCCGTGCCAGGGATCCCCCCATCCCACAGATCCCACAGAGCGGGGGGAGTCCTCAAGGTGCGGCGCTGATGGATGTCCCCTCTCTGTTCGGTGTCCCCAGAGCACCCCATGGCCCGAGGTCCTGGGTAGGATGGGATGGGATGGGACTGGAGCAGGGAGGGGGTTGCTAGCACATCCCTCACCCCTGGTGCATCCCACCCCATCATGGGGTCCCTCTCCGTGGCCCTGACAGGGTTTCCTTTGGGATGGGCAAGGTGTGGCTTTAGGGGAGCCCCCGGCCCCCCGTGCGACGCAGAGGGACAGGAGAGTGAGTGAGTGCTGCTGTAGTTCGTGTTTGTCACAGGCTGACAGTGTCACACAGGAGAGTGAGCGAGTGCTGCTGTAGTTTGTGTTTGTCACAGGCTGACAGCAGCCCCAAACCCTGCCCCACTGCCCCTCTGTGCTCCCACCCCTGCTCGGGACAGGGAGGAGGGGCGAGGGCAAGAGGAGGGGGACGGGGACCCCAGGAGTGGCTTAGGAGGGGACAGAGAGTGTGGGGGGGACCCCGGGGTGGGGGGGTCAGGACTGGACACAGGACCCATGTCTGCAGACCTGTCCTGCCCTGTGTCCCCCCGTGTCACCGCACTGACCCAGGGCGGTGACCAGCTGCCGCAGGTCGGGGGGGCCGCCCCCTCCTTGTCCCCCCCCGTGTCCCCCCGTGTCACCGCACTGACCCAGGGCGGTGACCAGCTGCCGCAGGTCGGGGGGGCCGCCCCCCTCCAGGCACTCGAGCGCCTCCAGCACCTCCAGCGCGTTGCCCACGGCGCGGCCCAGCGGCTGCTCCATGCGGGTCAGCAGGGCCGCCGTGCGGATGCCCAGGTGTGCGCCCACCTCCACCTGCGCGGGGACACGCACGGGGGTGGCGGGGACAGCGGGCAGGGACAGGGACAACAGGCGGGGACAGCGGGCAGGGACAGAGGTCAGGGATGGGGACACGTGGGGACAGGGACAGAGAGAGAGGGCAAACAGAGACAGGGACAGCGGGCAGAGACAGGAGCAGGGACAGGCAGGGGCAGTGGGAAGAACAGATAGGGACAAGGGACAGCAGGCAGGATAGGGATGGGACACGTGGGGACAGGGACAACAAGGGGCAGGGTTAGGGACAGGAGCAGGGACAGCGGGAATGGCCAGGGACAGTAGGCAGGGAGAGAGGGCAGGGACAGGGACAGTGGGAGGGGACAGTGGGCAGGGAGAGTGGACAAGGACAGGGACAGCGGGCAGGGATGGGGATGGACAGGGACAGCAGGCTGGGACAGTGGGCAGGGAGAGACAGGGCAGGGATAGGGGACAAACGGACAGAGACAGGAGCAGGGACAGGAGCAGGGACAGGCAGGGGCAGTGAGAAGGAGAACAGAGAGGGACAAGGGACAGCAGGCAGGGAGAGTAGAGAGGGACGAGACACGTGGGGACACGGACAGCCAGGGGCAGCGGGCAGGGTCAAGGGCAGGAGCAAGGACAGGGACAGGAGCAGGGACAGCGGGAATGGCCCGGGACAGCAGGCAGGCAGAGAGGGCAGGGACAGTGGGCCGGGCAGCCGGGCAGGGGTCCCGGGGGTCCCCGAGGTCTCACCAGGCTCTGGGCCAGCTCCCGCGCGCTCTCCTGGGTGGGGTACAGAGCTGCCTCCCCGAACTTCACATCGAGCACCAGCGCCGAGAGCCGCTCCGCCGCCTTCTTGCTGAGGATGGAGGCTGGGCCGGGCGGGGGGGTCACCGCCTGCGCCCCCTCCCCGCGCCCCGCGTGTCCCCGCGCCCCGCGTGCCCGTACCGGTGATGAGGGGCAGGCTGTCCACGGTGGCCGTGACGTCGCGCAGCCCGTAGAGCACCCGGTCCGCGGACACCAGCTCCGCGCTCTGCCCCACGATGCAGCAGCCCACCCGCGCCAGGATGTGCTGCATCTGCGGGCACCGGTGTCCCGTGGGACCCCAGGGACACCCCACCGGCACCCCACACACCCCCCAAGGGTGTCCCAGTGAGACCCCCTCATCACCCCACTGTGATGAGCTCTGGAGCCCCAGTGCCCCCAAGCCCGGATCCTGCAGGGTGTGAGGGTGCCCATGGTGTCCCTGTCCCTCTCCTGTCACCCCCCGTCCGTCACCTCCTCGGGGCTCTGGGACACGCGGAACCCGGGAATGGCCTCCAGCTTGTCCAGGGTGCCCCCGGTGTGGCCCAGCCCGTGCCCGCTGATCATGGGCACCTGGGGAGGGACACAGGTGGGCGCAGGGGCTCGGGGACCCCCCTGTCCCTGCCCCATCCCCGGGTTCCCCTCACCTTGCAGCCACAGGCGGCCAGCGCGGGGGCCAGGGCCAGGCTGACCTTGTCCCCAACGCCACCAGTTGAGTGCTTGTCCACCACCAGCCCGTGCCAGGCGGGCGGCCAGGCCAGTGTCCGGCCAGAGCTGGCCATGGCCTGGGTCAGGGCCAGTGTCTCACCCGCGTCCATGCCCCGCAGCCGGATGGCCATCAGCATGGCCCCTGGGGTGACAGCGGCCGGCCACATGTCACCTCCCCTGTCCCCAACCTGACCCGTGCCCCGCAGCCAGATGCCATCTGCGTGGCACCCAGGGACACGCGGGGCCACTTCAGTGCCCTCCCCAGGACCCCCACCCATCCACATCCCCTGGCCGTGACCTTCTGCCACGCGCTGGGGTCCCCCAGCTGTGTCCCCTGCTCATGACCCATTGCCATGTCCTGGAGTCCCTCTCCTGTCCTCCCAGGGTGGTCCCCCAGCCGTGTCCCCTGCCCAGGACCCCTCGGCATGTCCCGGGGTTTCCCTTGCTGTCCCTCCTACTGCTGAGACCCCCCCTGCCCCGGTGCCCCCTGTGCCTTTGTCACTCCCCTGGCCATGTCCCCACGTTTCTGCCCGCGCTCCCCACCACGTCCCCGTCTCGTTGGCGCGTCCCCGGCCGTGTCGCCCCTCACGCTCCCTCCGCTGCCCTCCCGGCCCCGGGGTGTCCCCGCGCCCCTCCCGCCCGCACCGATCTGTCCCTGCTGCGCGGTGCCCTCGGTGACGCCGCGCACGAAGCTCCGGATCTCGGCGTCCTCCAGACGCTCCCCGTCCCGCTTCTTGCGGATCAGGGCCGGGAGAGGGGTCAGGGCGTCCATCCCTGTCCCGGACAGCTGGCACCGCGATTTGGGCCGGCCGGCACCGCGATGTGGCAGCAGTCACACCCCGAAGTGGCACCAATGGCACCCGAGCCCGTCCCGCCGCGCCCCGGTTGCCCAGAGCCGCCACCCCGAGCCCGCACGGCCGCGCCTCCCCCGGCGCTGCCGGGACCTGCCCGTGCCCGCCTGGCCCCGTGCCCGCCTGGCCCCGTGACCGGTGCCCGCTGCCCGCGGGTGGCGAGGCGGCTCCGGCCGTGGACTTTGAGCCCGGGGCAACGAGCGGGGCACGGGAGAGGCCTCGGCGCGGGGTGATACGGGGGTGGCACGGGGGTTGACACGAGGGGTGGCCCCTGGGTCCCTCATTCACCCTGGACACTTGCAGGTGATGCCATGCCAGGGATCCCCCCATCCCACAGATCCCACAGAGCGGGGGGAGTCCTCAAGGCGCGGCGCTGATGGATGTCCCCTCTCTGTTCGGTGTCCCCAGAGCACCCCATGGCCCCAGGTCCTGGGTAGGATGGGATGGGATGGGACTGGAGCAGGGAGGGGGTTGCTAGCACATCCCTCACCCCTGGTGCATCCCACCCCATCATGGGGTCCCTCTCCGTGGCCCTGACAGGGTTTCCTTTGGGATGGGCAAGGTGTGGCTTTAGGGGAGCCCCCGGCCCCCCGTGCGACGCAGAGGGACAGGAGAGTGAGTGAGTGCTGCTGTAGTTCGTGTTTGTCACAGGCTGACAGTGTCACACAGGAGAGTGAGCGAGTGCTGCTGTAGTTTGTGTTTGTCACAGGCTGACAGCATCACCCATGTCCCCAGTTCCCTACAGGTGCAAGTCCATCATGGGGACCACGCTTTCCGAGTGGCGCACACCAAAGGTCTGTCCTTTTTTCTGGTCCTGCGGGAGGACAGAGGCGGTGTGAAGGTGAGGGGCTGTGGGTCCCTGTCCCCCAGGCCTGTCCCTGTCCCCGTCCCCACTCACCGGCTTGGGGTAGTAGTCGCTGGGGCTGGGTGTGTTGGAGGTCAGGGGCGAGCGGGTCCGCCCCACTATGGTGCAGCGGGGGGCCCGCGCCATGTACAAGTTGGTGTCCACGGTGCCGTATTTGTTGGGTCCTGGGGTCTGCGGGGAGAGGGGCGGGTGATGTCACCCCCTGGATGCCCCATACCCTCAGTACCCAGAGCCCCTGCACCCCACATTCTTGGCACCTCAGCCCCCCGGAGCTGTGACACTCCAGACTCCTTGGTACCCCAACCCCACGGCCCCCTGGCACTGCACACTCCTGGTACCCCAGTCCCCGGGACCCTGATACCCCAGATCCAGTCCCCCAGTACCCCAGTCCCTTTGCACCCGACCCCCAGTTCCCTAGCCCCCTGCCCCCCCAGTCCCCCGGCCCTCCCAGCCCCCACCTGTTTATTGTCATCGAAGATGCTGGGGCCTCGCCCTGTCATGATATACTGGGGGGTCGATGTCTTGTTCACTAGGCGGGGGCCCACCACAGGTGGCAGCTGGTAGGTGGCAGGGCCTGGTGGGGGAACATGGCTCAGGGGGACACGGGGCTTCACCTTCCCACAGGTGGGGAGGAAAGGCTCAGCCCCAGGACGCTGGGCGGGTCAGACCAGCCAGGGGATGTTGGGGAGCCCAGTCTGGCCAGGGGGATGGGGGGTCCCAGCCTGAGAGGAGATGGGGGGCCCAGCCCAGAGGAGATCAGGGGGTCCCGGCCCGGTCCAGCACAGGGGAATGATGGGGATCCCAGCCCAGGTGGGGTGTTGGAGGTCCCAGCCCAGCCCCAGGGAGATGATGGGGTCCCAGCCCCGGGGGCCACGGGGGACCCCTCACATCCCACTCTCTCTCTCACCTGGTGTCTGCTGGGGTTTGTCCGGGCGGCCGCGGGACCTCATGGAGCAGGCGGGGGCCGAGGGCAGGGTCACCCTGTTGGCCTGCTCCGGGGAATAATACGCTGCAAGGGCGAGCGGGGGTCAGCCGCCGTGCGCTCCGGGCGCTGCGCGGGGTGCCGCCCCCGGGGCTGCGGCCCCTCACTCACCTGGCCCAGGTGTGTTGCTGGCCTGCCGCTCGCGGGGGCGGCCGCCCATGGTGAAGGCGGGGCCGCGTTCTCGGCCCCGGGCGGTGAAGCCGGCTGGCACCAGGTACTGGGGGCCGGGGGAGCGCGGCTCCTCGGGGCCCCCCAGCTTCATCCCGAAGCTGTAGGCGGGGGCGCGGCGTCCGGAGGGGTCGCGCTGGTCTTTGCCTGGGGGCGGGCAGGGGCTCGGTGGAACTCGGCGCCCCCGGCTCGCGTCCCCCGTCGGCCCCGCGGCTCCGCACTCACCGGTGCTGCTGGCGATCCTGTACTTGGGCCCGGGGCTGGGGTACGCGGCCGAGGTGGGCCCCCGGAGCCGGTGGGGTCTCCAGGGGCCCACCCAGAAGTCGTTTGACATGGGGGGCTTCGTTGGTGGCGCCCCAGCCTCAGGCTCGGCCCCCGGGCCGGTGGCCTCGGGGGGGGACGTGGGTGCTCCCGGCGCGGCTGCCCGCGGTGAGCGGGGTGGCAGCAGCGGCGCCGGCATGCGGTGATGGCCGTGTTGGTGGCAGCGGCGCCCTGGTGACAAGTGACTCTGCGGGGCCGCGGGCGCCGGCAGCGGCGGCGTGGTGGCCGTGGTGGCCATGGTGTCACAATGGCCACGGGGTTCCAGCGCTTTGTCCCCTCGGGACAGCGCTCAGCACCCCGGGGTGACAATAGTGACAGCGCCGGGGAGGGAACGCCGGGAGCCCCGTGGATACACCCCGGCACCCCATGGGTACATCCCGATGGGTACATGCCATGGATACACCCCAAAAATACACCCCATGGGTACATCCCGATGAATGCCCCCCAAAAATACACCCCATGGATGCACCCCTGGCACCCCATGGATGCACCCCTCGGACCTGATATCTGACCCCCCAGAACCCCATATATGACCCCCCCGGACCCCGTGGGGAGGACAGGAGGGACACGGAGACACAGCACAAGGACGGAGGGACAGGAGGGGACATGGGAGGGGACATGGGGACAGTGGGAGACAGGGGAATATGGAGATTTGGATATGAATGACATGTGGGGGACATGGGGACATATGGGGGGACATGGGAAGAGCACAGGGACACGGGCACACAGGGAGAGGGTGAAGGGGGTGACAGGGCGATATGGGGGCAGGACATAGGGGATGTGGGGACATGGGAATATGGGGGACACAGGAGGGCAGGGGGACACGAGGACATGGGGGGACATGGGAACACAGAAACTGGGTGAGATCCCCAGGGGCTGCCTTGGGGACACCCCTTCTCTTGGGGACACCTCTGACCTGGGGACACCTCCGGTCGTGCCCCCCGTCCACCCCCCATGGGGAGCTCGGGGGTCACACGGGGCTGAGGGTCCCCGTCCCCTGTTGGTGTCACCCATGGGGCGCAGACACAGTGAAGGGACACGGGGGGGTCCCGGTGCTTCGGTCACTTTATTGGGGGGTCTCTGTGTAGGGGGAGCTGGGTATGCGGGGTGGGG